TACCTGACAGGTCTGAAATCATAAAATTAAAAAATATTTATGTATATGTGCGAAGTTAAAATCAGATTAAAAAAAGGGTTAGGGAAGGAAATTACAAGTCGGAATTAATAAATTTTTATTTTGCTGATGAAGATTCAATTCTTCGTGTAGTAATTTTTTTTCCATTTTTTTCTACCCCTAATTTAATTTTTTTAATTTAATTTCAACTTCTCATCTGGCATGACTAAAATTATAAAATTAAAGTATATTTTAATATATTTATAATTTTTTAGTTTAAAATCATAAGATTTTCTTAAACTATATATGAAGTCAAAATTAGATACAATTAGGTTTAGGGAAGGAAATTACAAGTCTGAATCAATAAGGTAAACATTCAAATAATCAATTAACTAAGTTAATTAAAATTTCCGGACAAACAAATTTACTAATTAATTGTTACTCTTATGTGTATTTTTATTTTTTTCTTTTGTTAAGTTATAATTTTATCCATTAATATATGTATATTTTATGTTGTGATAATGCAAGTATGTATTGGAGACTAGTGTGTACCCAAGGGAGCCAGAGCTTCTCAAAGAGATCAGAGTTATAACTGCAAATCATCCACAGTAATTTTCATTTTTTATTGGCTTTTATAATTGTTAATTAATATCATTTTTGCCCTTAATTTCTAGAGTGCAAAATTAATTTAGACATATTTTGTTGAAAAATTATCCTATTTGACGAAATTTTAATTTCATATGTAAATATTATATAAAAAAAGGTTTAAAATGTTCTTAATCTATACGAAGTTGAATTCAAATAGTTTTCCTATTAAAAATTTATCCCAAAATATCTTTATTGTTACTTAATTAGGTCAAAAATGTCTTTTTCATGATAAACATGTTTTTTTTCCTTTATAAACACATTATTTTTCGGATAAAAATATTATTTTTTTAAAATTCTTTTTCCTAACTTTTTTCTATTAAAATTTCTTTAACTAATAAAAAAGTGAGAAGTAATTTTTATTGTTCTTAATGTCATTTTATTAATAACAATGAAATAATTTCATACCATTTTAAAACTGATAATATAAATCTTATATATAAGATCATAGTAACACATCATTGATTTTTATTTAGATACGTTGATAAATAAAGTTGTTGTTCACCCTTTTTTTTTTAAACTTTAAAACCAAAGAATATATGCTTATCCTACTTCAATTCGAAAAATATTTAAAAAGTAAAAATGTTTGCTAGTTTATTAAAAAAAAGTTTGTATCGTTATTCAAATAAAAATTAATGATAATGTTACTATAATAAAATGTGATTAAGAAGATTTTTTTACTTTCCACCTTATTAAAATTTCTGACTTGACCGCGGCTAATACAGGAGTCTGATGTCAACTTCACCAGATGCTGGCCAACTAATAGCTCTACTTCAGAAACTGATAAATGCTAAAAACACTATTGAAATTGGAGTCTTCACTGGATATTCTTTGCTCCTTACAGCACTTACAATTCCTCAAGATGGCAAGGCTAGTTCATCTCACTTTTAAATAATATTTTCTTCGCTTTAATTTGTTTAGCTAATAAATTTTAAAATAATATTTCTAGCTATAACTAGTATGTGATCAATTTTTTTGGAAGTTCTTGTTAATGTACTTTTCTCAAAAGTACTTTTAAAGAATCTTTTTTAATTTGTGAAAAATAGTTTCTATTATTTTTAAAATACTTATTTTCTTTCAAAATCTTAACAAATTACTTTTCTTTTTTTAATATGCCTGGTCAAACCAGCTATAAATATACAAATTTTTAGAGGGAAAAAAACCAAAAAATCATGATTTGAGCCATTCAAGTGCCAAAATACAATTGCAATATTTCATGTCAACTTTGAGTATTTATATTATGAGCAGTGATAGAACTAGCAAGGGTCGAGTGGTTCATCATTCGAGTCTCTTTTGGTGAAAAATTATATTATTTATATATCATTAAAAATATTTTTTATGTGTATATAATAATGTTGAACCTCCTTTAGAATTTTCGTATGTTTACTTTTTATATTTCAAACTCCGTACGATTCCTGTGGATTTTGGGTGTGTTTGAATTTAGCCTCTCGTTAGGTCTTCACTGAAGGATTGTCCACCTTCTCGAGCCTTGTCACTGTCTATAAGACATATTCTTGCCAACTTGAATTGTCAATTTGATCATTGATTAAGTTTAAATGTCTAATTTTTAAATTGTGCCAAGTTTAAATGGTTATTTAGGAATTTAGTCTTTTCTTAAATTTCATATCAAGACAAACAAATTGAAACAAACAAAGTAAATATATATTTATATTAATTTAGTTACATCTAACTTATGAAGGAATTAATATAATGTGGATGCAGATTACAGCTATAGACATGAACAAGGATACATATGAGATGGGATTGCCAGTTATAAAAAAAGCTGGAGTTGAACACAAAATAAACTTCATACAGTCTCAAGCATTATCAGCCCTTGATGAACTTTTGAAAGATGTAAGTACTCTATATAATAGAGGTAATATATCAAATTCTCGATCAAACTTAAACTGTTTGACTCTCGAAAAACAAAATATGTCACATAAATTGGGGAATAGGGAGTAACACATTTTTAATGAATAACATATTCTATTGTGATCTACTTTAAACCTTTGCTTATGCATTATGTTATTTGCTTTAATTTGTTGTAGGATGCAAATAGAGGAAGTTTTGATTTTGCTTTTGTTGATGCTGACAAAGTTAATTACCAAAAGTACCATGAAAGATTATTGCAATTGGTGAAAGTTGGTGGTATAATAGTGTATGATAACACACTATGGTTAGGGACAGTTGCTATGCCAGAAGAGTTTGTTAAGGAAGAATTGAAACCAACTAGGTTTTACAGCATTGAATTTAACAAGTTTCTAGCTAATGATGATCGAGTTCAAATTTCTCAAGTCCCTTTAGGTGACGGAATCACCATTTGCTGGCGACTCTAACACTCTGTTTGGATCATTGTTACCCATTGTTTCATAATGTATTGTATTGTACTCTATTGTATGGTTGATACAAGACTATTTTTTTCTTTTATTTGTGGTACCCCTAAGAGACCTATACAAGACTGTATTGTTTGTTGTTTTTAATAACATTTTTATTGTTTGATTTGACTGTATCGTATTGTATTGTAATTTATAAATTTACTAAAATATCCTTAATTATTCTAGGGTAGGAAGTTTGATTAGAATTAAATAACACTCTAAGGTAAAGGATAAAATAGTATTATGAAATATTCTGTAAAGATATAATTGGAAAAATAAATTAAGTAACAATGGAAACACACCAAATTGGTTGTTCCATAAAATGGGGGTTTTCATTGTTACGTAACAACGGAATTTAACAATACAATACAACACATTTTAAGAAACAATCAAAACAAACATTATAGGTATAGTAACGATACAATACAATACAATGGGTAACAATGATCCAAACAGAGTGTAAAGATTCTGAGGGTCTATCAAAAACCACATGTTCATCTTTAAAAGTTAAGAATAAGACTGCGTACATTTTATTCACCTCATATTCATTTTACAAAGTATGTTGCAAAATTGTGCATAAGTTTATCTACACAACTTCAAATGACAAATGACTGAAGTGTTGGAAACTAAACTTCAAGTTCAAGGACTACTATTTTTCCTAAAATCTCATGTTTTCTATTCTCTCTTGTCGCATGTCGACCGATGTAGTCTAGCCTCAATTGATGTCGCCTGGTCGATGCGCCCAAGCCTTGGCCGATGTAGCTTACCTCGGTTGATGTCGCCTGGCTGAGGCGCCCAGGTCTAGTCGATGTAGCCTGGCCGATGTAGCCTAGCCTCAGTCGTTGTCGCCTGACCGGTGTAGCCTAGTCTCAATTGATGTCGCCAGGCCGATGCGCCCAGGCCTTGGTCGATGTAGCCTGGCCTCGGTTGATTAGCCTGGCCAATGCGGCTAGTTCTCGTACGATGTCGCCTAGCCTAGACCTACTAAAATCGGTGCAAGTCGAGCATTCTTCATCGAAATATTATATAAAAAACAATATGAAGTATATAAGTTTACAAGTGATATGCAATAAATAAAATAATAATTATATTAATAAGAATAAATTTTAAACTGACTGATACATTATCTTTTAAATTTTTTATGTAAACTACATTTAAATTCTAGCTTAGACAAATATAGTGGAGGTGATTTTTTCCTATTCATCTAAAAATTTTGTGGACAAATTTATCCGATACATATGTCAATGGAGGTAAATACAGACGTACAATGAAATATTAGTCACGATATGTGTGAATGGACTCCAACACTATGATGATACATTAAAAAGTATGTCATGTACGTTACTTCATTTGAAAATAGGGGGCATTTGTCAATTCACGTATCAGGGTGTGTTTGTTATGAAGGAATTTATTTTCTAAAAAATATTTTAAATTTCTTTTATGTTTGATTGACCAACTTTTTTAGGAAATATTGTTTCAAGGAAAATAAATTTCACAAAAATGACGAAAATGATTTGCCTAATGAAAATGGGGAAACTAGTTACTTATTAGGATTAATTACCTATATACACAACATTATTTAACATATTTTTATTAATTCCTATCCTTTTTAAATATTACTAAAATCCCCCTTTTTAATCCATTAATCCCAACTTCCTGATACATAACTTATTTTTTCCTAACCCACGTTTATCTCTCCCCTTTTTACTCCTTAAATTACTCCCTTTTTTACTCCCACAATCTTATCAGTTTATTCTCTCATTACAATTTTGAATTTTAAGATCTTTCTCTTTCTAGTCGATCATCCATCAAGGTATTGCTTCAAATTCTTTCACTCACAATTCATACTTTTTTTTGTTTTTCTTCATCAAAATTTTGATATATTATGGATGATGCACCTTCATTCAATATTGGGATTACCCAGATAATGTCATTCAATATTGGGCAAAAAACAGATCTAAGAAATTGCATAATCCTTTCGTAATGGCGAAAGTAAACATTAAGAAGGTGAAGAAGGATAGTTCATCTTCTTCAAAAGCGCAGTCGATAAAGTCCCAAAAAAGAGGTGTCGAAAAGTCGCACCAACAATTTCTCGGCGTTCTTTACCTATGGCTAGATTTTCCATCTTTTTATCAATTTTTGTGATCGTTAAAACTTGATTTTATTAGTTTAATGATTTTATGATACATTAATGATTCAATACTTTTTTAATGTTGTAATTCAACAGGATTTAGTTAGTTTTGTAGATGATTTGAGTTTGTCGAGAATGATTGCGGCATCTCAAACATCCCTCTTCCTAATGTAATTACATGCAAGATTTTGGTTGGAGAAGTGAGAGGAAGTTGAACAACTTTTGGAGTTGGAAGAAGCTTTAGAAACAATTGTCGCCTTTTGGAGATAAACATTGTGGGTGGTGGAGAAGAAAATAAAAGGGGGGGGGGGGGGGGGGGGGGGGGGGAGTAGAACATGTTGCTGAACATTCAATGTATCGTGTTCAAATATTATGTATATGACACATAACTACGTCAAATTGTCTAATTGACTATGTATCAGATGTTGTTATGTATATGCAGTACTGTTTTATAACAAAATGTGTGTTTATCATAACTAGTTTTTTCGATATTTTGTTGTTCAATTTTGTCTGATACAAAATGAGGGGGGGGGGGGGGGGAGTAGAACATGTTGGTAAATACCCTTCTATATCCAAAGTTCAGATTTTTTAATGTATCTAATTGATAATGCCTTCATTTCAACTTTATGATACATTAAATTAACATTTGTTACTAAACAATAATGTATATATCTGAAATCAAACAGTCAGACAAAGTTTCAGTAAAGATTGATACATAGGTAAATTTTAGTTAGTTTTTGATTCATTCATGTATCTAATTGATAAATTAATTCTTACTTATTGTGATACATTTATAGATACACTTTATTTTATTTTACATACTACTTTTTCACAACCTTATTGTATCAAATACATCATTTTCAACTAGATCATGATACATTATATAAAAATATATCAGAACCATATTGAGTGGTACCATCTCCACAAACACAATCTCTTGTACATTATTATCAAATAGCTAATGATACATTATTTTTAAAAGGTTTATAAAAATGTGTTACAAAAATAAACACTAGATTGAAATTCTTAACATTTCAATTTATTGTATCAGAATTTCACTAGCTAATAGTAAATTTTAATGTTTTATCAAAGTAAAAGTGCAAAAAAGCAAAAAATTGAAAAATTTATAATCTCAAAATAATGTATCTGAAACATAACAATAGTTCCAAAAAAGAGTTTTTCAATTTTCTTTCGAAAAGAAAGTATAAGTTCTTCGTTTGTGACATTCTTGTCCACAACGTACACAAATGCTTTGTGTTTGTGCTTTTCTTTCCATAGAGATCTTTTCCCTCATTTTCCTTGGTCGTCCAGTCATCTTTTTGTACCTAGGTGGCAAGACAATTTCTTCCAAAACAAATTTCGATACTGACCAATCGTCCTTATCCAGCATTGAAATCATTGGAACTTCATACGTATTTGCTAATGCAGCTGGTTTGTAGTAATCAGAGCAGAGATGTATCTGCGATGTTTTGCTCTTTACAACAGCAATTGCGTGTGCACAAGGTATCTCGTCATGCTGAAATCTACAGTTACATATTTTTCTCTCAAGGCAAACAATGTATCTTCGTCCACCTTTATACATTTAATAAATAAATTTAGAAGATGGAACTACTTGCGCACATTTGAAAGTTAGAGATACATCACATATCAATTAACTCAATTTAAGATACACAACATTCTAATGATAACAAACTCCAGATACACGATAATTTGTAAATTGATACATACCTTCATATATCGATTAAAATACTCATATACTGATACATTAAAAAAAAAAAATCGCATGTATCTGATATATTATTGTAACAACACACTAACTCACATCTATAAAAATCCATTACATATACATCAAACTAGAATTGAATCAAGTTGAAAATCAGTAATATATCATGATTATATATGCATATACAAATTCAATAATCAAAAAAGAAATTCATATATATCTTATACTTTATATTAACAGTACAGTAACTCACAGATCTGCAAACCCACAATATATAAGTCAAAGTTTTAATGTATCAAGTTCTAATCAGTAATGTATCACGGCTTATCGATCAAATACAGATTCATGAATGAAAAACAATGATTAAAGCACAAGAATATGTGTTGCATACCTTTTGTTATCAGATCTTTCAATTCGAAAATTGAAGCTATGGCAAATAAACATAACTATTTTTGCCCAAGCTAGTTATGAATTAACAACTTTCAATTGCCTTCATATTTGGGATCTGACATCACACAATCAGTGGCGGACCCAGAAATATTACCAAGTGGGTTCAACATATAAAAAAAAATGAAGCAGTATTAAATGTTGTGGGTGGGAATCGTACCCACGATGCATTAGTCAAATTGTAACTACTTTGCCGCTGGGATACATGTTAATATTGGTTTAATGGGGTCAAATTAATTATATGTAGTGTTTTGTTTCAAAAAACAGATTGAATATATATATATATATATATATATTGTATTTTTTCGATGAAGTGGGTTCATATGAACCCACTTGCAACAAGGTAGGTGCGCATAAAAATAAAGATACCAAGAAAGTTTGCAAAGAAACCCAGGTCCTAATCGTCAATCATAGTGAGATTTGTGTAGAATTTGAAGAACCCAAAAGCTATGATCTTCAATTTTTTTCTTCCTTCGAGAGTGTCAGTCAAAAATCAAAATATTCATTATGTATCTTATCAAATTTTCAACAAAAGTTTTGAATTATACTCGAAAGTTTCTTCGCTGAAACAAGGACAAAGATAAATTTGAATTTTGAATTGATTTGTTATTTTAGGATTTATGTTTCTCTGATTGACACAGGAAAAAAGATCTGAATAGCGTAAATTATGGGATTTTAATTTGATTTTCTGTTTTTTTCTTTTCTTTTTAAGCGCAATGGCCACATATATAAGGTATCACAATTAATGTATCCGAACAGCCAATTATGTATCCGGATGGCTGATATTTATTATTTCATCTTTTCACTCATTCCACCTTTTAACTCCGGATCCCTCTTCTTAACCATCCCAATTCCCACCCTTCGCCGCCTCCAAACCTCCGCTCTTCAATTCATCCCACCTCATAGTATTTTACTAGATAGATATAAATGCATCGCCCCGAAAGATTTTAGATCCAAACAAACAGAGATCCACATTATTTTTAGTGTTGAATTATAGTAGAGTGGTTAATAAATATAATAGAGTTGTGCACGAGTATATTTAAGATTTAAGACGAAATAAAATCGATTGACAAAAACACATATAGACTTAAATTGTTGGGATAAGTCGTACAATATTGATTGGTAGAAGAATTAAATTGAGAGCACATTTTAATTGTGATGAAAATATATACTAATATGCATATTCGACGTAGGAGTTTGTGCTAATACGTGTCCAATATATGTTATTATTTTTATGATTTTTAAATATTTCAAATTGTTAATTATTATGATTTACAGTATTTTTTACATAATTATTATATAATATATGTTACTCCCTATATCCTAATTTATATGAAACTGAAAGAATTTCGAGAGACAACTAGAATTTTTATATATTTTATAACAATGGAAAAAGGGTCTAATATACCCCTCAACTTTGTCATTTAGAGCTGATATACCCTCGTTATGAAAGTGGCACATAGATATCCCTAATGTTATACAAATGACTCACATATACCCTTTTCCTCTAACGGAAGTGAACAAATTAATTTTAATTTTATTTTTTTAATTATTTTTATATATATATATATATATAATCCCATATGGGTATATTTAATCCTCCTCGCTCATAATTTTTTTTTGGACTTTTTTTTTATTTCAACAACTAATTTATATTTATTATTTTGATGGTCAAATTTAATTATGTTTCACTAATTTTCTTGTAAAATTTATTATAGATGACCCAATTTTTTTCAAATACAAAAACTAAATTACAATATAGTCAAAAAAATAATTTTAAATTATAATATAGCCACACAAAAAATTAGTTTAAAATTTTTTTCTTTACACCAAGGAATGAAAGAAAAAAATAAGAATAAGAAACTCAAATAATGATAATCCAAAAAGTCAAAAAATAATTTATGTATAAAAAAGATTAAAATATACCTCGAACTTTGCTAGAAGGATCATATATACCCCTACATGAATTTTTTTAAAATTAAAAGTCAAAATTATAAATTTAAAATTAATTTTTTCACTTCCGTTAAATTAAGGGTATATGTGAGCTCATTTTGTAACGGTAGGGGTATATGTGAGTCGTTTGTATAATGATAAGGTATAAATGAGTCACTTTCATAATGAGGGCATATCAGTTCCAAATGGCAAAGTTGAAGGGCATATTAGGCCACTTTCCCTATAACTATTGTAAGTTGTTAATTATTGTAATCTATAGTACTTTTTATTCATATTTGAAAGGAAAAGAGTCTAATATATCTCTTAGCCTTTTCACTTAGAGCTGATATACCCATCGTTACAAAAGTGGCTCACATATACTTCTATCGTTACAAAATTAGCTCACATATATCCCTTACCATTATAAAAATTACTTACATATACTCATACCGTCACAAAAGTAATAAAATTAATTTCAATTTTTTTATTTTATTTTAAATATTTAAAAAGATTATGTAAGTTGTTGATTTAACTACAATTTAATTTGTACGAAAGAGGGTCCATATTAACAAACACTTGGTAACTGTGGCGGATGTAGAGTGTGTCCAGGGGGGTCATCCGACCCCCCTCGGAAAAAAATTACACTATATATATAAGATCAATTTTTTTGTGTACGTGTATATATTTAAAATTGAACCCCCTGAGCATATGTCAAAGGAGTAGCTCAATGATTTACGGGGTTCAGGATTTCGCCTATGTTTTATTTGAACCCCCTTGATAGAATTCCTGCCTCCGCCACTGCTTGGTAACCACATATAGTGATGTGTTGGTCTGTTGTCCTCATAAAAATGACGTTACAATCAAACCAAACAAAAATGCTTAAATATCACCGACATTTATGATATAGTGAATAAAATTATTTTTTTAGTTAGAAATTTTGCATTCTAATCCTAAATATTAAAAAGATCATTGATAAAAAACATTTTTTATTCAAATAATATCCTATACAACATAAGTTCAAATTAATCGAACTCACATACGAATATCGAACTTTGGTGCATGGTCCCTCATACACAATGAAATTTCAGGAAGATTGTTTCTCTATGTGTAGACTTTGGTGCTTGGTCCCTCATACTCAATAAAGGACTTAAAATAATTGCACGGTCGATCGAATTTCGTATATTTTGATTAAATAGTATATTTATATTAAATTTATTATATATAAATATTAAATTTTGATCTTGATGATTATAAATTAAAATTGACATTATCAACTCTAAAGATAATGAAAGATTTTATTTTATATTTTTTTTAAAGACTTTCTTGGGACTAATGCTAATATAAATATGAGGAAATTACATGGTTAAGCAAATATATACTAGTTAATTAGTCATTATGCCTATAGTTTTAGTTAATTACCACTCGCGATCAACATTCAGTAATAATTACGTGGGCTGAAGTTTTGAGTTTGTATAATTCGAACGTTTGTATAATTTTTCTATAATGTAATTTTGTATAGTATAATTTGTATAACTGTTTAAAGTTCAGATGTTTATATTTGTATAAATTCGTTATTTTGAGTTTATACAAAAATAATTCAATTATAAAAACATACCCGCAAATTATACAAACGAATCACCTTAAACTGTAGCTACAACTCGTAAATATGCAAACTATAGTTATGGAGCATAATTAAATTTATAATAATGACTATTTGCAAAAACTCCCCTATAAATATCCCTTCTTCTTTGTCTCTACAAAAGTAGTAACAAATATTATTTCTCATTTTAGACAGAAGAAATGGCGCTCTCCAAATCCTTGGAAGGCTGAAAGGGACTGTTGCAGAGTCAAGAATTGTTTGAGGTAAATATTTAATTATTGAAATTATTATCTTAAATTAAAGATGTTCATAATGTATTATGATTTTCTTTTGAAATTTATAATATAAATATATTAGGATATCGGATTTAAAAAATTATTAAATATTCACATACTCTATCACAAAAATCTACTCATGAAAAATATAAGAAATCAACAAGATATAAAACATGAATGATTAAAAGAAAGAGATAACTGTAAAAACACACTTAAACTATTTTTTTTAGTTTTATACTTAAATTATTACTTATTAGTTTAAGAAATACATTTCAGTGATGGTGTAATACACTCTCTTTTTTATTTATAAAAATCTTGCCACGTGACATTCTATATAGATAAAATATTCCATCTTGACAAAAATCAATAAATCATTAATATTGTTAAAAACTAAAGATTAAAGTATTACTATTACTATCTCCAAATTATTATTTTTTAAAATAAATAAAAAAAATTTCTCACCCCACTCTACCATCTCCTCCCCCAGACAATCCCCCGTCCTTTTATTTTTAAATTTTTTAAATAATTTTTTTTTAAAAATCCAGATAATTACAAATCGAAACCAAACAAAATTAAAATTTAAATAATTAACCAATTAAGTTATTGACACTTTTTGGACAAACAAATTGAAACAATAATATAAATATATATATACTAGTAGATTTTTTTATCAAAGTTTTTTAGTATGGTATTTTGATGTGCTTGTCCTTATTTATTTTAATATATATTATTGTGTGATGATGCAAGTATATACTGGAGACAAGTGTGTACCCTCGAGAGGCAAAGCTTCTTCAAGAGATCAGAGTTATAACTGAAAATCATCCAAAGTAATTTTCATCTTGCTTTCACATTTTTACTTGTTATAAAATGTCATACCATAATATATAAATATAAATATGATCTTAAATTTAGCTTTATCTGATAATTATGTCCCTCAATGTTGGGTGTATATAAATAGGTATTTGAGCTTTTATAAAGTTAAATAAATAGACGCACGTGTCTTACGTGACATAATATATATATAAGATGTTAAGTAGGACGTATATACACTTGTTCAATTCAATTTTATATAAATTTAAGTGTCTACTTGTGCACACATTCAATGTTGAGAACATAAATGTCACGTGAAATTAAGTTAAAGGGCATGTTTATGAATTATGCAAAATGACATTTTAGCCATCAACTTCTAGAGTGCAAAATCACCTTGTTACTTTTTCATTGAAAAATTACTTAAGTTAGATTGAAATTTTTATTTCATATAGAAATATCACAGAGAAAATGATCAAAATATTCTTAAACTATGCAAAATTTAATGAAAATACACTACAGTAATTGTCTAGTTCAAAAATATCCATATTGTTACTTAATTGGGTCAAAATATCTTTTTCATGCTAAACAGTAAACATATTATTCTTTTTTTTATGAACACATTTTTTTTCTAATAAAAATATTATTTTTAAAAAATCCCTTTTCCGTAATTTTTTTTAAAAAAAATCTCTTTAATTATTAAAAATATAGAAAGTATTTTTCTTCTTCTTAATGTCATTTTATCAATCAAAAACTGAAATGCTTTCATGCACTTTTTTAACTCGAAAAGAAGGATTCTTTTTTACTTTCCACTTATTTATTAGTTAAAGGAATTTTAAAAGGAAGAAACAAAAAAATCATAATTCATAAGTAATATTTTTATTAGGTGTAGAATGTCTTTGTTGATAATAGTTATTTAGCTTTAAAATGTCTTTACAGTTAATCATAAGAATATTTTTGAGACAAATTATTAATAATAGAGGTATTTTAGGATCAAATAATTTGCAATAACTAAGGATACTTTTAAATCAAACTATTAATTAAGAATATTTTTATTCAAATTTACATTATAAAAAAAGGGATACTTTAACCCTTTTCCCGATTATTGTATATTGACTCTTCCT